TGATGGCGAGTCGAAGGAGTTGAAGGCGTGGACCAGAGACGATTGAAAGGCGCAAAGCCTGATCTGGTTATGCCTGGCTGATAACGTTCTAGTGAATGTAACTTCTGAGAAGACCGCGAAGGATCTCTGGACGAAGCTGGGAAGTCTCTATCAGAGCAAGTCACTCGTGAACAAGCTGTTCCTGCGAAGGAGGCTGTATAATCTGCGGATGAGCGAAGGTGATTCTTTCTCTGCTCATTTAAATGAATTTAATACTATTTGTGCACAACTTTCGTCTATAGACATTAACCTGGACGAGGAAGACAAAGCTTGCACCTTGTTGTGTTCACTGCCCAACTCTTGGGAGCACATCATTGTGTCAATTGGTACTAGTGTTAATAAACTGTCGTTTGAGACGGTTGTTGCTGCCTTATTGTCTGAGGAGATGAGAAGGGTAGGTTCTGAAGGTACCAACAATGAGGCTCTGGTTGCTAGAGGGAGGAGTGATGACAAATCAAAGTCTGGTCACAGAGGAAGATCGAGGGGACGATCAAAGTCCCGTGATAAATCTGATAAATCTGATAAATCTGAAATGAGGTGCTGGAGGTGCAAAAAGGTTGGACATCTGAGAAGGAATTGCAGAAGTAAAAGTGTAGGTCCTGAGAAGCGGGATGATTCACAACCGTCTGCTTCGGGTACAAAGAAGGATGATGATGATAGTACAGGGGACCTGTACATGGCGTTTGACAGTCATAATGACTGTAATGATTGGATTATTGACACTGGAGCATCGTTTCATATGACACCTCATAGGGAGTGGTTCTGCACCTATGAATCGTATTCTGGCGGTACAGTTAGAATGGGAGATGACACGACTCATGCAATTGTGGGGCGTGGGAAGGTAAAGCTGAAGATGAGTGACGGGACAGTCAAGAATCTGCCGGATGTGATGCATATTCCGGGGCTTACCAGAAATCTGATCTCCGTTGGTAGTATGGCAGATGCTGGTATTAATTTTAGCAGTGACAAGTATGCTTGCAAGCTGACTCGAGGAGCTTTGGTTATTGCAAGAGGAGAGCGTCATGGTAAATTGTGGAAACTGCTGGGTAGCACAGTATTCAGTGGTGAAAGCTATGTTTCAGAACAGGCGGAGGAGGACACTGCTATGTTATGGCATAGGAGGCTGGGGCATATTGGAGGAAAAGGTCTGGGGACTCTAACATCAAAGAAGTTGGTGGATGGAATTCCGAGCTGCTCTATGGGGTTTGGATTTTGCGAGCATTGCCTGCAAGGGAAGCAAAATCGGATATCTTTTGATTCCATAGGAGGAAGAGCTGAGGGGGTCCTGGACTTGATACACAGCGACGTGTTTGGCCCCACACCTGTAGCATCACATGGAAAATCAAGGTATTATGTTTCTTTTACTGATGATTTTTCAAGATATGTGTGGTTATATTTCTTGCGCAGCAAGGATGAAGTGTTCGATAAATTCTGCGAGTTCAAGGCTTTGGTGGAAAATCAACTTGATCAAAAAATCAAGGTGCTGAGAACTGACAATGGAGGGGAGTTCTGTTCAACAAAATTTGACCAGTTTTGTGTGAGCAATGGGATTGTAAGACAGAAGACTACGCCCTACTCACCTCAACAGAATGGGGTGGCAGAGAGGTTGAATCGATCTCTCATGGAGAAAGCACGGAGTATGCTGAGCGGTGCAGGCTTGGCAACTGAGTTTTGGGCAGAGGCAGTGGCTACTGCTTGTTATCTGAAGAACAGATCTCCTACATCAGCTTTGAAGGAGAAGACTCCGTATGAAGCACTGTTTAAAAAAAGGCCAGACGTATCTCATATCAGAGTGTTTGGCTGTGAAGCTTATATGCACGTACCCAAGGAGAAAAGAAACAAGCTTGACAGTAAATCTGAAAAGTGTATCTTTATTGGGTACAAGGATGGCGTCAAAGGTTATAAGTTGTGGAATCCGGATACTAGAAGTGTAACTTACAGCAGAGACGTTATATTCAGAGAATCTAAGTTGAATCAGATTTTTCCTGAAGCTCCTGAAAAGTCACAGACAGTGGAGTTGGATGTGGGTTTGAAAGAGGATACAATAAACTCACAGGTTGAATTGGAAAATTTGAATTCTGAAGCTGCTGAATATAATGAGGTAGAGGATGAATTTTCTGAAACTGAGGCTGAGGTTGAAGCACCAGTGCTGAGGAGATCCACGAGGGAAAGAAGACCATCTGAGAGGTATACACCTGAAAATTATATCCTGTGTGCTAGTGATGATGTTTGTGCATTTAGTATTACAGGTGATGATCTGAGCACTGTAAAACATGCGAGGAGCTCGGAGGATGCCAAACAGTGGGAGGAAGATATGAAAGAAGAGATGAAGTCTCTGATGAAAAACCAAACTTGGAGTTTGGTGAATCTACCTGCAGACCGAAAAGCAATTGGTTGCAAGTGGGTGTTCAAGAAGAAGGTTGGTGCCAATGGGGAGATTGAACGCTACAAGGCTCGATTGGTTGCAAAGGGATATTCATAGACATATGGGGTTGATTATGGTGAGGTATTTTCACCTGTTGCAAAGTTAAATTCCATAAGACTGGTTTTGTCTGTAGCAGCTGCATATGACCTAGAGGTGGAGCAGTTGGATGTGAAGACAGCTTTTCTTCATGGTGATTTGGAGGAGGTTATTTTCATGAAGCAACCAGAGGGGTTCATTGCAAGAGGCAAAGAGGAGCTAGTCTGCAAGCTGAATAAATCTCTGTATGGCCTGAAGCAGTCCCCAAGGATGTGGTACATGAAGTTCGACACTTATGTGCTGAAGCTTGGCTTTGACCGTTGTGATGCTGATCACTGTGTTTATGTGAAAAGGTTAGAAGGTGACTTTGTTATTCTAACTTTGTATGTTGACGACATGTTACTCGTTGGAAACAGTTTGAAAATGATCAGCACTGTTAAAGGACTGCTAGCAAAGCAGTTTGAAATGAAAGATCTAGGCGCTGCCGATGTGATCTTGGGTATGCAGATTAAGAGGGAGCGTGACAAACAAAGATTATGGTTAAGTCAGCAGAAGTACATAGAAGATGTTCTGAAGAAATTCAAGATGACTGACTGCAAGCCTGTGTTGACTCCCATGTCTACTGGTTCTAAGTTATCGGCTGACCAGTGTCCCAAGACTGAAGAAGAAAAAGAAGAGATGGCGTCAGTTCCTTATGCTAGTGCAGTAGGGAGTCTGATGTATGCCATGATTTGTACTCGACCTGATATTGCTCAAGCAGTGGGAGTATTGAGCAGGTATATGTCCAAGCCAGGAAATGAGCATTGGACGGCTGTGAAGCGTGTGTTCCGCTATCTTCGTGGTACGTCTGACCTTGGGTTATGCTATGAAGGCGTGAAGGGCTCAAGGGGACAGACATTGTTAGAGCTGAGATGCTTTGTGGATGCTGATTGGGGAGGTGACATTGATAGTAGAAGATCTACAAGTGGATATGTTGTTTCTTCATTTGGCGGAGCTATCAGTTGGATGAGTAAGAGGCAGAGCACTGTTGCTTTATCTTCTACAGAGGCTGAGTACATGGCCTTGACACATGCTGTTAAGGAAGCTATTTGGTTACGGAGGTTGTGCAAAGAGCTTGGCTTTGCACAAGGAGAGATGATCGTTGGGTGTGACAGTCAGAGCGCCATTTTCTTGGCTAAGAACCCAGGTTTCCATGCGAGGACCAAGCATATCGGCATACAGTACCACTTCATCAGAGAGAAGATTGAAGACAAGGTTGTATTGCTGGAGAAGGTTGACACAAAGGTCAACAATGCTGATTTTCTGACCAAGGCAGTGACTTCGGAGAAGTTTGAATGGTGTACAGATGCCTTGGGATTGAAGAAACATGTGAAGCATTCACCAAGTGGGAGAATGTTGGGTATGGCTCATACTTCACATGATGATGTTGGCCTTAATTGTCGGGGTCAGCAGAAAGGCAACTGGGGTCCCGCTCCTAGGTGAGCGGGCGGGGGTCCCGGGGGCAGCGCCCCCAGGCCCGTAGAGGCTAGGTAATGTTTAGGCCTCTGTTTCTATTGTAATTTTCTTAGCAGTTTGGGCTTGGGCCCATGAATAGCTGCTGTTAGGGTTTCTTGTAATCCTATTTATATTTGCCTTGTAAACCGAGAGACTTGTAACGAGTGGCGGTGAGGTGAATATAGTACAGACAAACTGGACGTAGCCTATATTGGGTGAACCAGGGTAAATCATCGTGTCTATCTCTCTACTCTTATCTCTTTTTCTGTTTTTTCGATTCTGTGTGATTGTCGATTTCCAACAAGACCGTGAATATCCTTTGGTATCTACTAAAAAAAATAGTATAATCCTTATATAAACAAATAAAACTATCATTATGATATATTTTATTATAATATTTTTAATAATATGTTTTTTTAAATCAAATAAGAAGTTATTTATTTCAAGATTTGGGGGGGCATGCCACATTTCCACATTTCCACCCCACCTAATTGCGTATGTCCTTAGGTGAGACCAATATTATTGGTCTTTTAAAGCTTCTGGAAGCTGACGTTAGGATCATTGACCTTTCATCTCTTATATACTTCTTATGATTTCTCTTCTCCTATTATTAACAAATGAATTATTTAGGGAATAAAGAAACGAATACAGATTTTATTCCTTTAATTTGAAAAAAAAAAGGGATAAAAAAAAGTGCAAATTGAAAGAGGGACCACGGGTGGGGCGTGAAATGCAGGCAGCTGCAAAGGTCCAACTTGTTTTTCGGACCTTACAATGTTGAACTTCAATATTCAAACCTCAAAACCAAAGCACCCCACATAGCATTTTTCTAATTTCTAGTGGTTGTTTTTCACTTTTTTTCAATTTAGCTTTCTCCATAATTTCTTTCACTTCTATGGTCTATCTTTGCCCATTGTTTTTTACTTTTCCATTTATTTATTTATAAATCTTCAAAGTTCAAACAACCTCCTTTATATATATTTATTCAAACGCCTTTCTTTTGTGCACTTGTCTTCTCTGCTTTTCAAACAACACACAAAAACAAGCCTTCTTTTTCTTCTTTGTGATCTCACAAAATGTCTTCTTTCAAGAGCAAGTATCAAGGTGAATTTTCATTCATGTTGTGTCTTTTCAATGTTTCTTCTTTGTTAGATGTTATTTCATTTTTTTCATTACTCCTCATCAGATATGCGTTCAAGGAATTTGGATCATTTTTTTTCCTTTCATAGTAAATATTTTTCTTTATATTGTGCTGTTCGGTTGTGGTGGATCAATTGTGCTGCACTAGCTCCATCTGGGTATGCGGTTTCTACGATAAAAATTTGATTTTTCGTACTCTGGATGGTTGTTTTTGTTATCTGTTGCCTCCTGGTTCATAGTTTGATGATCCAGATGAAAAGAGAAAACTGGGTATATATGATCCAGATATCCGTTTACGAATTTTTGATGGAAAAGTTTGAAGTTTTGTTCATAGTTGTATGTTTTGATTGGAGAACTATTTGTGAATTTTGTTCGCACGCAAAAGCATGTCGATTCATTTAATTTTTTTTATGGGTGTATCTCCCTGAATATTTGGTCTTTTTCTTTTTTTTTTTTGGGTTTTTTGGTTAATGATATTAAGTTCACGTTATGCCCTTTGTTTGGGATTATCTATGGAAATGAATGAACGAAATTAACTTTCTATGTACCAAAAAATGATAAACTTTATCTATTTTTAGCAAGGTTTCGATCTTGTCTGGTGGGTTTGGTGACACCTGTGGCTGCCTACCAGAAGCGACATATTACATGACTCATATCTGTGTTATTGAGTAATCATGTATCACAAACCTGTTCAGAAGATTCAGAAATATGCAAGTTTAAAAACTATTCTCAACTCAATAATTTTGTGTAAAGTCAAAACTGAAAAATTAGCTTAATTTACAAGTTGGTCATGTTCTCTGTGAATCAAAATGAGTGTTAGGTGTTGTTTATTTTGTCCTCCTTTCTGCTTGATGTTTCCTAGTTTCAAATTGAATAGAAACAATTATAGTGTACTAATATTCAAGGATTCAAATTTTATCTGTTCTAATGGTCAAGGATTCTAAAGAATTTGGCATGAACTGCAGATGAGCTCATTGCCAATGCTGCTTACATTGGCTCCCCTGGAAAGGGTATCCTTGCTGCTGATGAGTCAACTGGTACAATTGGCAAGCGTCTGGCCAGCATCAATGTTGAGAATGTTGAAACAAACAGGCGTGTTCTTCGTGAGCTTCTATTCACTGCCCCTGGTTGTCTAGAATGTCTCAGTGGTGTGATCTTGTTTGAGGAAACACTATACCAAAAGACTGCTGCAGGTATTGATGCTGTGTGTTTATGATATTTCAAAGATACATTGCAATACTTGCTAAGGAAGAAGTAAACATCTTGTTTATGGATAAATTTTCAGTACTCTCATAGTAGTAATAGTGCACCACTCATTGAATTTAGAGAAACAATACTTAGCTCAAAGCACGGATCAATTGGTAAGGGGTTATTCTAGCTCAAGCAGGAGTTTCGATTTCGAGTCCTTAGAAATGGAAATGTGGTAAAACTTGGTAGGGAGAGTTTTGCCGCCCATGTGGTTCTAGTCGGTTTGAATCGGACTAGTCGAGTAATCGATGAACGAATAAATAATATATCAAAAAAAAAATAGAAACAAGACTTACCTATCTGCATTTATTCCACCCACTTCCGTATTTTCAATGCCACATGAGTCACTTCTTTCTATTTTAAGTGAGGGAGTGTTTACTACATAAAAAGTACTGAAATTTTACTCCTTGTTCACACTTCTATTGTGTATTTTGCTATTAAAAATCCATTTTTCTAGCTAATTTTTGCAGTATATGTTATGACCCTGCCATGTTTTTCACTATAGAAGATCCTGAACATCTTTTTTTTGTATAGGAAAACCCTTTGTGGAGGTGTTGAAGGCAGGTGGAGTTCTTGCTGGTATTAAGGTTGACAAGGGAACTGTTGAACTTGCTGGAACAAATGGGGAAACCACCACACAGGGTTTGGATGACCTTGCTGGGCGCTGCCAGAAGTACTATGAAGCTGGTGCAAGGTTTGCTAAATGGCGTGCTGTGCTGAAGATTGGTCCAAACGAACCATCTCCATTGGCTATCCATGAAAATGCATATGGTTTGGCTCGTTATGCTGCCATATGCCAGGAGAATGGTTTGGTTCCAATTGTGGAGCCTGAGATTCTAGTGGATGGACCTCATGACATTAACAAATGTGCTGATGTTACTGAGCGTGTTCTTGCTGCATGCTACAAGGCCTTAAATGACCATCATGTTCTTCTTGAGGGTACCCTTTTGAAGCCTAACATGGTGACCCCTGGATCAGATTCTCCAAAGGTTGCTCCAGAGGTGATAGCAGAGCACACAGTTAGAGCTTTGTTGCGAACCGTTCCTCCTGCGGTTCCTGCTATAGTTTTCTTGTCTGGGGGGCAAAGTGAGGAGGAGGCAACCATAAACCTCAATGCAATGAACAAGCTCAAGGGAAAGAAGCCTTGGTCTCTTACATTCTCTTTTGGAAGGGCACTTCAGCAGAGCACTCTTAAGGCATGGGCTGGGAAGGATGAAAACATTCCCAAGGCACAGGCTGCATTGCTCACTAGGTGCAAGGCAAACTCAAATGCAACTCTTGGAACTTACAAAGGTGATTCTAACCTTGGTGAGGGTGCTTCGGAGTCTCTCCATGTCAAGGACTACAAATACTAAAAATACTAAGAGGAGTGAGCTTCTGATTGTACTTTGTTTTTATTTGGAGTTATTTGCAGTATTGGCACCTCAAGGTGATGGTGTTCTTTTGTAGGTTTTGTAGTCACTTTTTTTGCTTCCCATTCTCGGTCATAGGAGGGTCCTTGGTATATTATGAATAATGGCTTCAGCTTTTGGGTTGGTCGGCTTTTATTTTTCAACAATGTTATTTGTACATTGTTTTTGTTGCACATCTTTCTTTTCGAATAATAAAACAAGAGAAATACATTTCGTATTATATACAATATATCTCACCCCATCCCCACCCCACAAATAAGTAGATCATGTTGTTCAAATGATATTAAAATCTGTATTAGAGAAATTACTTTGATAATATTCTCAGTTTTATGAAATATACACAAGAATTAAAATATGCAATAACACAAAGTTAAAGTGTACCGTACGAAAATATATGAGTGCAACAAGGAAAAAATCGAGCCCAGTATTAGACATTGTATTCTTAAGATAATGTTGCCCTTTTTATGGTGTTCAAGAATCGTGGACAATTGTCTCTAAGAATAGAACATATTACCTCTATTCTTGTGGTGATATTTTTACATTGAATAGCCCCATCAAATTCAATCTATGTCTGACTAATCACACTAGAGTAAAAGAATGTAAATGTAAAAAATTTATAAAAACTAAATATGTGGGATGGGTTAGGCGCGTGAGTTTACGCGCGCGATTTTTTCTGTCCGCTAGGGCTTTGCTTTCTGTGTTAGCTGAGTAGGTTAAATGGGAGAGGTGAGAGTCGGTGAGAATGACACGCTGGTCATGATGAGGAAGAGTATCAAGAGATCGAAGAATGGCGAGGAGATCCAAACGGAAGTGGTGATGCGCGATGCGATCAAGGAGTTTCAGGCTGGATCTTCCATGCTTGAAAAGTCCAGATCCTTTGCTGAGGTGACTGGAGTTAAGAACGGGGTGTCGGGCGACAACGTTCCATGGCTGATCGAAGAGGATGAACCAGATCTGGAGCCTTTAGATCCTAATTTGGGGGCGATCTCTGAATGGGGTTTTGAGACCATTATCACAGAAGATGGTTCCGTTGAAATAAGGAGTAACAAAGAAGCGAGAACGAGAATGTGTCAAAGGTGGAAAAATGCACTGATCGTGAAGCTGCTGGGCAAGAAGATAGGCGTCAGGTTTATGAAGAAGAGATTGGAGGTGATGTGGGCGAAATCTGGCAGCATCACTGTTGCTGACCTCGGCAATGAGTTTTTCTCCGTACGTTTTAGTAGCTTAGAAGACATGAACCTTGCAATTACAGGTGGACCGTGGGTCATATTGGGTCATTATCTTGCCACAAGGAAGTGAGAACCTTGTTTTGATCCTGAGAAGGCTAATATCCATAAGGTAGCAGCATGGATTCGACTTCCAGGGATCCCACAAGAGTACTGTGAATTCCCTTTCCTAAATCATTTAGGATCGGTGATTGGGAAAGTAATCAAAGTTGATAGGACAACTTCAACTGGAGATAGGGCCAGATTTGCTAGAGTGTGCATCGAAATTGATCTCTCTAGGCCTTTGAGGGGTGAGTATGTATTGGATGGTTGTAGGAAGAGGGTGGAGTATGAAGGGCTTTATTTGATTTGCCTTAGGTGTGGTAGGTATGGACATAATTCTGAGGCTTGTCCAGATTATGTGAAGCCTACACCTGTGCATCAGACTGAGGAGAAGTCTGGTAATTCTGTAGATAATTCTGGAAGTCAAGGTTTGGGACCATGGATGGTAGTTAATCGAAGGAAGAAAGGCCAATAGGCTGTGCAGAAGCAAGATTCTGGAGCCAACAGAACATTTGGTGAAGACATTTCTAACAAGAAAAATATGGTGGGTCCAAGAACTGGTGCTAATAGAGAAAAGGGTAACACAAAAGGGGTTCAGATTAAGCAACCTGTGAGTAGCTCTCTCAATCCTGGTGTGAACAAGGAGAATATTTCCTCGGGTAGCAAGGTGGATTCCCCAATGATTGGCATGCTATTCTCAACCGTGGCGTCTAGCTCTGTCAAAAAGACTGGTGGTAATAAACCAGTGGGGGTGAAATCAAAGAAGTATGTGGCTAAGGCCATGAATGGTAAGGGAAAAGGAACATGTAAGGAATTCTCTCAGGCTTTGGGAGCAAGTAGCTCTGATATTTAGAAAAAAGTTGAGCTGGATGGAGAAGTTGCTTTATCAGGAGTATTTAATGGGCTAGAGGGGAATTCTGCACTCAGTTCAGAAAAATCTTTAGGTGAGGCTATGGTTGATGTTGATCCGGTGCAAGAACCTGAACCTCCTGACCAAATCATGAGTGACTCGTTAAAGCTGCTAGCTGATAGTGCAGGTATGGAGGTAGCTTTACCTTTAAAAGAGCAGTTAACTAATACTGTTTATGAGCCTATTTGTGATTCTGATCTTTCTGAGAATCAGAGTTATATGTGTGTTAATAATGATGAAAGCTGCAAGAGCTTAGTAATCTTGCAAAAAAAACAAAGTTCATCATGAATGTTCTCACGTGGAACTGTAGGGGTGCTGCTAAGAAACAGTTTAAGAGCACCTTCAGTAGATTTAGAAAGAATTATAAGGTTGGGATGGTAGCTATCCTGGAACCTAGGGTGATTGGAAATAAGGCTGCTAGTATAATTAGAAGTTTGGGTTTTTCTAATAAACTGATAGTTGAAGCACACGGTTTTTCAGGAGGTATTTGGCTTGTTTGGAATTCTTGTGATGTTAATATTTCTCTCATTTCCCAGCATGATCAGTTTATTCATTGTTGGGTGGAGGTGGCTGGTTTGAAGGGCTTCTTTTGGGCGGCTGTTTATGTCAATCCTCAAGAAGGGAAGCGTAGGTTGTTGTGGGAGGAGTTAAAACAGATTGGGAGGACTATGGATGAGGCATGGTTATTGACAGGTGACTTTAATGAGATTACTAGTGCTGAGGAGAAGAGAGGAGGAGGTCCCATTGACTATAGTAGGTGTATACAGTTTGCAAATGTGTTGAGTGCCTGTGGTGTCTTGGATTTGGGAGGAGGTGGCAATAGATTTACCTGGAGAGGTCCAAAATTCCTTCATTTGGACAGAGTATTTAAGAGACTTGATAGAGCTGTGGAAAATGAGAATTGGAGAGCTAGTTTTCAGGATGCTGATGTGTTAACACTTCCTAGACTGTTTTCTGATCATTGTCCTGTTCTTGTCAGATTGGAGAAAGAGGAAGTAGGATGGAGAGAGCGGCCATTTAGATTCCTTGCTTCCTGGCAGGCTGATCCCAGATTTAGCAATCTTATCAAGGCTAATTGGAATCAAGCTACAAATCTGTATGATGGTTTTCACTCCTTCACTCCAGTTCTAAAGGACTGGAATAAAAATGTGTTTGGTTTTATCCAACATAAGAAGAACAAAATTATAGCTAGATTGGATGGTATTCAGAAGCAAAGTAGTAGCCATCCTAGTAGGCACTTTGAGAAATTGGAGGCCAAGCTAAGAAAGGAGCTCTCGGATATACTGGATCAAGACGAACAGCTTTGGCATCAAAAATCTAAAGGAGACTGGATTAGAGATGGGGATAGGAATACCAGGTTTTACCACACCAGCACTTTGATCCGAAGGAAAAGGAATAAAGTCCTAAAACTGCAAGATGAGGCTGGACACTGGATCAATGGGGAAGAGGAGCTTATTGCTTTGGCTAGGAACTTCTTCATTAATCTGTTCAAGGAAGAGATTTCTGTTCCTATTTGGTTGCATACGAGTAATTCTTGGCCAGAAATAAAGGAAGACCAGTTGGAGTCCCTTTCTTTAAGTGTTGGAATGGAGGAGGTGAAATGTGCTTTTTTTCAGATGGCTCCTTTGAAGGCACCTGGTCCAGATGGCTTCCCTGCTTTGTTTTTTCAAAGGAACTGGAAGATCCTTAAAGATCAAGTTCTCACAAGTATGAGGGGGTATCTTGATAAACCGCAGCTAATTCAGGAGATCAACTACACTATGTTAGCTCTTATTCCTAAGATTGAGAGACCTTGTCTCATGAAGCAGTTTAGACCAATAGCCCTTTGTAATTCTATTTACAAGGGGCTGAGCAAAATCCTTGCTAACAAAATTAAACCTCTTTTGGGGAGTCTCATTTCCCCCAATCAAGTTAGTTTTGTTCCTAGAAGGAAAATCCAAGACAATATAATAATTGCTCAAGAGTTGGTGCATGCGATGCATAAAATGAAGGGAAGGAAGAGCTTTCTGTCCATCAAAATTGACTTAGAAAAAGCTTATGATAAGCTCAATTAGAGTTTCATAAGATCAGTTTTGGATGAAGTGAAACAGCCAGGGGATTTAGTTGAAGCCATCATGGACTGTGTGACTAGTACTCATTTGGAGGTGTTGTGGAATAGGGGTAGGACTACTGGATTTAGTCCTCAACGTGGCATTAGACAAGGGGATCCCATATCCCCTTATCTGTTTGTCTTATGTATGGAAAAGCTAACTCATTTAATTATGGATGAGGTGGAGGCTAAGCATTGGAGACCAATAAAGGCTGGAAAGTCTGGTCCATATATTTCCCACCTTATGTTTGCAGATGATGTTATATTGTTTGCTGAAGCATCTTTGTCTCAACTGGAATCAATCACTCATTGTCTGGAGAAATTTTCTAAGATGTCTGGGCAATGTGTGAGTGTGGAGAAGTCATGTATATATTTCTCAAAGAATGCTCCTTAGGAGGTAGTATATTCGGTCACCTCTGTTAGTGAGTTTAAAAAGGTCAGTAATCGTGGATGCTATTCGGGTTCTTTGATGAAGCATGGTAGAGTGAGAAGAGATCATTATACTGATGCTATTACTAGAGTCCAAGGTAGACTGCAAGGATAGAAGTCAAAGTGTCTATCTCTGGCAGGTAGGATTACCTTAGCCAAGAGTGTTATTTCAGCTATCCCTTCCTTCCAGATGCAAAACAGTATGTTACCTGTTCATGTTTGCCAGGAGATTGAGAGATTGCAGAGGAACTTCATCTGGGGGGATTCTGAAACTAAGAGGAAAGCCCATTACATTTCGTGGGAGCAAATCTGTCAGCCTAGGGAATGTGGTGGGTTAGGAATCATGAACTTGAGAAGACAAAATGAAGCATTTATGCAAAAATTGGCTTGGAAGGTTATGACTGATCATGATAGACTTTGGGTCAAGGTGCTGTTAGGAAAATATGGTAGGAATGCTAATCCTAGCCGCTGCCTAATTTCAAGAACTTCTGACTCTCCTCTATGGAAGCATATATGTAGAGGATATAATGACTTATATCAGCACCTTGAGTGGAAGATTGGTAATGGAAAGGAAATTTATTTCTGGTCTGATGTGTGGGGAGGGTGGAAGAGGAGTCTATATGACCTTGCTGCACACAAACCTCCTGATTCTCAGCTATCCTTTAAAGTAAGTGATTATGTTGATCAAGTCACAGGGGATTGGAGATGGAGCTGCCTTGTTATTTGGTTAGATGCTAATACCATTAGTAAGCTTAAAAATATTAGAACCCCTGCTATTGATGGTCCAGATGACAATTTGAACTGGATTTGGAGTAGTCCAAGTAAGTCCTTTGTGAGGAATGCTTACTGTCATTTCCCTGAATCTGGTGAAAGAGATCGAGTTTGGGCAGCTATATGGAAGTGGAGGGGGCCTTATAGGTTTGCAGTTTTCCTATGGCTGGCTAGTTTGAACAAAATTCCTGTTCGAGCTATGACAGGACAATGGTATTGGGGAGAGAGTATGTGCCCTGCTTGTAAGATTCATCCAGAAACTGTTATGCATGTGTTGAGGGATTGTAGGGTAGCTAGGCAGGTGTGGGAAAGATGGTTCTCGCGTAATATTCCTAAAACTTTCTTAGCAGTGGAAGGAAGGGAATGGTTCAAGATTAGTCTGTTTCACCCTTTTGTTAATAAGCTTTGGGGGTCTTGGAAGGAGGTATTTTTTGTGACCTGCTGGTTTTTGTGGCAGTGGAGAAATTCAACGGTTCATGAAGTGTTGTTTTCTTTGCCTCAAGATCCAGTGCATGCAATCCTGGTTTTTTTGGATGGGATGAAAAAAAGTGCTAATTTTGATGTTTCTGCTGTAGGGTCTGATGGCATTTCCCTTGTTGGGAATTCTGGACAGTAGCTTGATGAATATCAAGTTCAAATTTTTGTTGATGGTGCCTGTAAGCTAGCCTCCAATATAGGATCTAGTGGTGGGTTTCTTTGCTCCTCTGTAGGTGAATGGAAAGGTGGTTTCTCTTACAATATAGGCAATTGTACTGCATTGGAAGCTGAATTATGGGGGATATACCATGGCTGTAAATTGGCAAGTGATATGCAGTATTCAAAGGTGTGGATAGGCTGTGATAGCAAAGAGGCTTTACTTTGCTTGGAGGAGAATGATGAAGTTTGCGGTTTCTCATACTTGATAGGAAAAATTCGAGAAGTGGCTCTGGCCTTTGAGAAATTCTAGTTGGAGTTTGTCCCAAGAGAAACCAATTCTTGTGCAGATTACTTAGCTAAATTAGGATTTAGTCTCAAGGGTGAAGAGTTGATGTTACACTCCTCTCCCCCTGATGATATGTTGACTTTTTGGTTAGAATTTAGCTCCAATTTGTTGATGGAGCATGTTTGTTTGTATTTGCAGCGTTTGACTGTTTAGTTTTCTTTGGGCTTGGCCCTCCATTTTTATCAAAAAAATAAAAAAATTTATAAAAACTAATAGAGAAAACTCGTATCTTAAAATTTCGATTTCTATTTATTTATAAAAAACATAAGGTCACGATTCAAATGCCATATATTTGACGACGAAATAATACATTCACTTGACGACTAAAAGACACACTTTTTCATATCAAACTTCTTGTTCATAGATATAATTAATTCAAAATTAACTCCAAAAGATGTAAGAAAAGGTATAAAAAAAGGGAATTATTACTCTCCTACTGTCGTGATAGGGTGTCTTATGTGACAGACTCAATATAGTGAGCTCCATTGATTTAAAAAAAAAAAAAAAAGGCAAGCACAAGTGGAAGAAAATTTCTATCTTCTACTACACTAGACTAACTTAACCCATAAAAAAAGGGTGGGTATGGAACCTTGTAATTCCTTCTTTTTCCCTTTTAATTCAGTTTCCTTTTCGTTTTTTTTTTTTACCCATTTGTTTTCCCTTGTAATGAAAAGGGTTTGTCCTTTCGAAAACACTTTCCTCTTTAACAAGAGAATTGTTTTCTCATATTACTGAGAGATCCTTTTACATGCAATACTTTTTTTATTTTTTATTTTTTGTTTATGGTAAGATACTGAGATTCATCTAAATGATATACATGCATGAATTTTTCTAACATCATATTAAACGAGAGATGCAAAGCCTTTTTTGTATAACTACAACTTGGATCTGAAAGCACATCTTGGTGCTTACAAAAATTTTGAAAGCACATTTTGCTCGTGGTTTCTATTTATTATCACAATTTGTAGAGTTTAATGTTGTTCATATTATAGGAGATAATTTTATCTTTTACATATATAAAAGTATGTGGGGTCCATGTTATCCTTTTATCTCTCTTCTTTTCACACAGTCCCACATGAAATTATCTAGCTAGGAGATGAAATTATCTTTTATAATATGAAAAACAATAATCTCCAATATGTATTATCTATTTCAGGGATTAATGTTTCTCATGTTGTAAGAAATAATCTTATCTCCTACACACATATAAAAGTATATGAGGCTCATATTTTATTTTTATCTCTCTTTTCTCCATATAACCCCACGTGGAGTCCACACACTTATATATATATATATATATATAGAGGTAGGATCATTTGACACCGGTGTCAAATTTCAATTTTGACACCTCATCTGAGAGTCATTAGATCAAAAAAGATCAATGACTCTGATTTGCAAGCATGTGATACCATTGATCTTTTTTGATCTAACGGCTCTCAGATGAGGTGTCAAAATTAAAATTTGACATGGTGTCAAAAGTGCCAAAAGATCTTACCTCATATATATATATATATATATATATATATATATATATATATATATATATATAAAATAAAATTATCTCCTACAATTCTCTTTGTTTTTATATTTTATTTGTGCACAGAGTTAATTAACCAACATCAGCAGTGAGCTCAAACAGCCATTGGTCAAGGTCAATATTTTTTTGTTGATTTAGAAGGTACACGTTTCAGTTAATACCATTAGCAGGTTACAGAATGGGATTTATTCGATAACAATTGGCGGATTTTTTTTTTCCCTCAAAGATTTTGTGTGTGTGTGTAGGGCTAATTTTGTTGCTTTGTGTCTAAGCATGTTCATGCAATTTAAAATTGGTAACTTTAAATTTGAACACTTCTCATTTGTCGAGGAAAATAAAACACATGTTGTGTGCTGTTTCATGAGAAAACTTCGATGACTGGCATGGAGTAATGCTAGTTGTACAGTACGACACATTGGCAAGTACCCAAAGAACTGCACAGAGTTGTGTACAATTATGCACACATACACACGAGTGATAGTGAAAGTTGTGCAATAAGCAATACTCTTTGTTTAAAAAAGAATAAAAAATAGTTCAGTACTCCTTGCAGGTCATGCTCAGCACTGTACTACCCGCGTATTAATTTTTTCTTAGTAATGCAATTTACTTTTTCTTAGTAAAAGTAGCAGTGTTGGCTGGGGTTGAATGGAATATTTCAGCAAATTTCTATTTTAGTATACTAGATATTGCATTACTCTTTTATTTATAAAATAATCAAATTAGTCATTTAATGAAAATTAAAATCATTCATTTTATTAAATGACTAAGTTAATGACATAAGTTTCAATTAAATGATCAATTTATATTTTTATAAAGGAAAACTAACTTGATATCAATTATATCTTAAAACGATTAACAAGAATATTTGTAGCCAATTGGGCTTTAACCAAGCCTACCATATTCAAGAATAAAGGGTAGTTTTTGGAGGTCCAAAATTGAAAATCTTTGATTGGCATATATATGGTGCCCAATTGCACCTTCAAGTTGTAATAGAATATTCGAACTTTTTCTCTTAGCCTTCACTTGTTGGATGATCTTGGGTCCACATGACTCCAAATAGGCCCGTTGCTTTTTTTTCTAACACGACCCAAAACAAAATTAAAATTAAGCAAATGAAAATTGGTAACTTTTTTGGGCTATGCTGCCAGCTCTAGCATAGTTGTTTTCGCATGATGACCTTTTCCTAGACACTAGATACCATCATAAGGAAAAGTCCCTCTCGCACTTTGCCTCCTCCTGCCACTCAGAACCTGATTGCAGATTTTCTTTATTGGGTGTGAATTGTGATGGATATGGGGTTGCCTTTTACGGCCAAAAATACTTAAAGCAAGTTGCAGGAGCCAGAACTTTTCCTATCTGCATTCTGGGTAAAGTAAATTTTTTTCCTCACCTTACATGAGCTAATTAATAACATGTTTGATTTTTATTAAAATTGAAACAATATTTTTTTTAGTAAGTTTTTTTTTGTTATGAACTATCTTAATGAAATACAAAATAAATTAATTCGAACAGACATTAACTAATCATTATTGTTATGGACTCAGATACGAGGCTCATTCATTGATAAGCCCAACAAGCGACAATCCAAAATATTAATCAAGATACAATTAAAGAAGGATATTCATTAAGATATCAATCCTAATATAACAACATGACATATGGGCTTGGGCCGTCATCAGGAACACTGAAGGTCCAGAATTCAATATATCCATAAGTAAACTCTATAAATAAGAAATAAAATCTACAGGTACGATATACTCTCTCTTACTGTTACGTTGTCACTGTGCACTCACATCCCTTTGGCAAAGCCATTTATTGTTCTTATGTACACAGTGATTTACTTGACTCAATAGATACCTTGGAGAGGACATTTAGATCCAAAAGCAATCTACTAGCCCATTGAGCTAGACATCTCTGTCTCTGAGACAGAACAATTACCTATATTTAAATATTTAAATCAACAATTTATATGTATACATAAGGTTATGTGATTACATTAAAAATGCTCCTCTTACACAAGTTAATGGTTGATTAAAGATTGTGTGGTTATACTAAAATTGCGACTATTACAAGGTTATTTGGTTGATTTAAATGCTTGTTATAAGAGTACCTACTTAAAAAGATTTAACTTTTAATTTGATCTCTCTTTCCATTATTGTAAATATGGTATTGCTTAGTGTGTTTTAAGCGTTGAGACAAGCAAGGAAGGGTGAGTGATGAAAATGACTATCAATATGTCTCTTCCCAGGCCCTGTAGGGTGGTTCACTTTTTTGCAGGAAGCTTCTTTACTCTTTCCCAGGTACGGACACTGCCTGTCCAAGAGGGTAAGATGCATGTAATGCATGTGTGTATGTACTTACTTATACGTGTGTGTGTGTGTGTGTGTGGGGTAGTGATAGTAGTGAATCAAGTGTCACCAGCCTCATAATACAAGAAAAGATTAGACTGCTGATAAGGCCCTTTGTCCGACCACTGTTATTTATCTCTCACTCTCTATATATCAGGAAAAGAGAAAAGATAAATAGCTTTTTGTCTCCTTGTTTTTTTGCGGGGTACGGGTGGGGTTTCGCTTTCATGACTCTCTAATGGATTAATGGTGGATTCACATATATTTATGGCATATTCAGGATATATAAGAATTCAGAACCCCACTTATATCTGTGTCAAGATTTAGGACAGGTTATTCATCAAATATACAAAATTACTTTTTAAATTTTTTTTTTTTTAAAATCATAGCTCAGTTGGGAACTAAGCAGATGGAGATAAGAACATGTGTTCGATCCTCCCCAATTCTATTTTTGAGAAGGGTTTAAAGCTTTAATCTCCCGGTACCTGCCCCGAATCGGATTAATTACAAAGCGATGAACGGATTGGAATATCACCAAAAAAAACAAAAATTACTTTTTAAAAAAGATTTTGTCAAAAATGAATATATTAATTATTATGCAAATTTTATGTTGATATCCTATAATGACTGCCTCCGCATGCATTATTTCCTATTATTGCATAAATAAGCAACATGTAGTCTTCCTAGAATTGATCAAGAGCGTAGGCAATATATACAAAAAAAAAAAATTATATGAATTTTTTTTTTTGAAGAAAAATTATATGAAAATTATTATAAATGTTTAATGATTAATTATAATACCACCAAATTTGTAGATCAACAGAAGTTTCAACTTAATCAGTAGTCTAGAGTTTGAATCTTGGGTGGGTAATTGTATTGAAAATTTGATAGAGAGCTTTGCTACCCTACCTTGCGATCTTGCTCAACTTGAACTAGAACAGTCGAATAATTGGCTTGAACTAGATTAGTCGAATAATTAATTAACCAATGGAGCAATTTCTAAGAAAAAAATAAAATATAATTAGAAATAAAAAATAAATATAAAAAAACTTACAATTGGGAAGATGTAATTTTTTCAT